GAGAGGGAGAGAAAGAGAGAGAGAAAGAGAGAGAGAGAGAGAGAGAGAGGGAGAGAAAGAGAGAGAGAGAGAGAGAGAGAGAGAGATAATTAAAGGGAAGAGGAAATCTGTGCTTGATGTAACTTTAAGAACTCAATGTTTGTTGGCTTAGTTCCACCACTTAGTGCGTGCGCTCTTAGGGCTATCAATGCCAATATCTGTTTTCATTTGAATTATAAGTGTTAGAGTCACTAGTAGCAAACTCATGAATGCATGATTCAGTAAATTTAGATAGAAGTGACAATGCTACGCAAGATCACGTTTGATATTCACATGCGATTTAATTGAAACCCGTACACAAATTCATTCAAACTTTTACCCTCGTGTCCGAGTTAATCATCTGTTACTAATTTCCATTAGCCATTATAATCATTATCATTATCTGGTCATATACATACGAATATGTATATACATCAAGAGCAGATAATAACCTCAAGAGCAGAAAATAATGGGTTATTATCTGCTCTTGATATACATGTAGTTGGCCTTGTACATATGAATATGTATATACGTTGTATTGCTTAGGTGCTCGATTCAACGAAGCTAGCCGTTCTTCACGACGTACGTCACCACAAGCAGATGATCACGTGTCTGCTGCTAATCCAGCCGACGATGGTCGCTGCCGGAAGTAAGGACGGCTCTATCTCCGTTGTCGACACCGCCAGGGGGCAGGTGACAGCGGCGATCGGGGAATTCTCGGGCGAGGTGAACTGCATGGCTGTCAACAATGACAGGAGCATGGTCAGTGTCGGCTCCGGCTGCGATTTAAACATCTGTGATATCACCAGCGATGAGATCCTGCTCAGTTTCACCGCTCACGCCGACGTCGTCAATAAAGTCGCCTTCGTAGACAGCGACGATGACGATGGCGACGGTCAGAAACAGCAGCTGCTCGTGTCGGCGTCGCGGGACGAGAGCCTGCGAACATGGCGCCTCCTGGACGTGCGCGGTGGCGGTAATTCGAAGCTCGGCCAGGAGATGTCAGCACGTCTGACGGGCATGGCGGTGGACGTCGATCGTCTGTTGGCGCGCGACGACCTCATCGTGTCGGCGTCGACGCGCCTACCGTACGTGAAGCTGTGGGACGCGCAGCCCGACCTGCACGTCGGCACGCCCATGTACGTCGACGACGGCACGGCGTCGCCCGCGTGGACGCGCGACGGTCGCCTCGTCGCCACGCAGCACCGCAACCGCGCCGACGTCGTCGTCTTCGACATGACCGACGTCAGCGGTCAGTCGTCGGGAACTACGATGGACGGTCACCGCGGTGGCGTCACTAGTCTGGCCGTGACGGCCGATGGTCACTTGGCGAGCGGCGGTGTCGACGGACGCGTCAAGGTTCGTAACCTCGAGACGGGCGCCATCGTCGATTTCCCTGTGCAAGGCGAGGTGGTGTTTCTTGATGCGCACCCGTCTAAACCTCTCGTCGCCGCCTGCCTGCGAGAAGGCGCTGTCGTCGTGCTTATAAACCGCGACGACGCATCAGTCGTCGCCATGGGTAACGGATCGACCGTCGCCGACCGCGAGACGTTCACCGCATTTCATCTCGCCGACGAGTACGTCGTCATCGGAACAAGTGGCGGTCGCATGATAGTGAGAAAATGCTCGCCAGAGGCGCCACTGGTGTTCGCCGACGTTGTTACGAGCGGCGTAGTACAGCACGTTACCAGCTCAAGAGACGGTCGTCACTTCGCGGCGGCAGGCGACCGTGCGTCGGCAGGCGACAGTACGTCGGTGATCGCCGTCTGGCAGGTTGAAGCTGGTAGCTTTACGTGCGTCGGCAAGTTAAATACGTCGCCCTACGCTATAACGTGTCTGGGCATGACTGATGACGGTGCTTATGTCATCGCAGGAACCAGAACTCGACAGGTCGTCGTGTGGCGCTGCGACACGGCCGAGAAGATCATTGTCACCTACGTTTACTCCAGCGTCACCGCTCTCAAGGTCAACGATGACATCGTCACGGTGGGGACGCGCATGGGGTTCCTCGGACGTTACAAGATTCACCAAGCACGGGTAGCTAGCGAGCAGACTATAGCAGGGAAGGAGGAGGATGATACCCATAGCAACAACAACAATAACAGCAGTGATAACAATGATGCAACAACTGCGCTATCTAGTGACGACATCGAAAAGCCAAACTTCCGAAGTCAGTCGCGATCTATTAGTTGCGTCATGCTGTGACTGCAGCGCCGAGCGCCACAGGTACAAGAAACGAACAATTTCTCGCGCAATTACGTCTGAATATAGACACAAAGGCAGGGAATTAACGTTTTTAGATCGTCGATAATAACTGCGGGTATTGTTTGCGCGTGCCTGGGGGTTTCTTGTCTGTGCTACGACTTCGTTTCTTGATAGTTTCGCAAAGACGGGGTATATAAATTGTTAGTGTATAGCGCAGTCGTGGCAGACGAACGCGACAACGGGTAAGCACACCACGGAACTCGTAATTGCTTGTTTTTACAGTTTCGGTAAGCGACGTTAGCTGTCGAGTGTGGGTTAGTGATTGAGAACCCGCGCAATTCCGCGTTCTCTCCAGCAATGAAATACAACTCCGACACAAATGGAAATAAAAAATGTCTCAAAGTTTTAACGTTTCTTGATGTAAACCCATCGACTATAGTAAACACGCAATCATGCATTTAAGACGAAAACGGCGATTTTACAGTTTTTATTCGCGTGAAACATTAACAATGGAAGTTGTACATAAGGAAATGCTATCTAATGGCTTTGGTCGAAATAACCATTCAGCGTCAAATTTCACAGACACTGTCGATAAGATTTTCGTCAAGCTAAAGACGAAATATTTGGAGCATACATCCTGACTCTTTAGGAAAACAGTTTATAAAAATACTATAAATAGTTCATAATATATATATACATATGTATATATATATATGTATATATATATATATTATATATATATAATCATACTTTGTGTCGCGTGATTTTGTGTAAATTTGCTGTTTGTTTCTCCCGATGTGTGTGTGTGTGTTGTGTGTGTGTGTGTGTGATGTTGGTGTGTAGTGTGTTGTGGGTGTGTGTGTGTGTGTGTTGTGCTGGGTGTGTGTGGGTGTGTCGTCGCCAGCGGGAGCCGCTGTTGGCCTGTGTGTGTGCGTGCGTACGGGCGTGCGTGCGTATGTATGAGTGTAGGTGTAACCATGAGTTTGATCATGAGTATATGTATATAACAACACAACTAGCTGCGTAATATATACAATATATAAACAGAGAAAGGAAAACATGGGGTTAACGTGTAGGGTACATGCTTCTCCTCGGCTCTTGTATGCTTATATTTTTTTTACATTTTTTAAAAGCCGGTCAATGACAAGATTTCGCAGCACATTAGCTAAGGAATGAGATGCTGCCGCGGTGCTGAGACAGAGTGCACTAGCTGATATAGGATTATACTTAATAACTTAATTACGAGCGAACAGCAAGCATTTCCACGCATTTAGAACTCGCAGCTAATTTTACATTAACTTTAATTTAAGTCATAACGATCACAATCGAAAATACTCTACATCATGCGCGCTTTTTATTTCATCGTGCTTGGACTGACGAATGGAACATTACACAAAATAATCGTTATTCATCGAAAATCTAATCAATTATGCGCCTAGTCTCTCCATTAACAGAAATTGCGAGCGTGATGTATATTGTCTTGCACATCCTTCGCGAACGTTAGCGCCATCGGTAATAGGTTTCCGGTGATTATTATTATATTAGACACTGGAATTCGCATAAAATGACGGCTGTCACAATGGCGTGGATGTGCGTGCTTAATTAGCTTCTTGTCCTCCATTGCGGCAACACTTATCGCTCGTACAACAGCTCTTCTGCTTCCTGCGAAATGTAAAATAAGAGAACAAACATTTTACATGCGTATCTCAATCAAAGCATCGAAAATCAGAACACAAATCAAATTCCAGACCGGCCTGATAAAAGTGCGATATGATTCTGAAGAAAAGTGAAAGATACGAAAGAAAATGTTCACAGCTGAATAGTACGTTCATCAGTATCGATGCGTGCGCGCAAGCCACGAGGCATCAATGTGATCTACCTACAAACCTACCTACAAACTGTAGAAACTGTACTATGAACCAATAGAAACACGCGAGGAGCAGCGGTTACAGCGACATTGCTTTTCAGTATCGACATTACGAAAATCGCACAACAGAAGGGACAGAGGACGTGGATGACTTGGAACCGATAGAAGATCAACGTTCATATAAGGCACGATGTGTGAGAAATTCCAGAGTTCCCGTCTCATTTTATTTGATCTTATTTTATTTTATTTGGTTTGATTTCGTATTATCATCTGGTCGTGCAGCATGACGTCACCAGGATCAACACTCACGAGCGAGGAGCAGACGCTGTCTGGTGAGCACTTGTCCAGGCTGGACAGGAAGAAGCGACGGTTGTCCTTTGCTGCGGGATCCATCAGCGGCACTACGGTGATGTGGGGCCCTCCTCCACCACCACCACCAGAGCCCCCGTCTCCTCCTGCGCTCATGCTTTTCATGAATCCTTCAGCCGACACTTCCATCAAGATGGCGCCCGACGGTATCCGTGCCAACGCCTGACGCAGACGCGAAGGCTCCACCTGTATCACGTGACAGTATTAATGGCATGTGGACTTGACAGTACCGAGTGACAGTGTAACAATGTGACAGTACCGAGAAACAGTGTAAGAACGTGGTTGTAAACGCTGACAGAACATTGCATGCATAACATGTTCGGTGTAATGCGACCAATGCGCGCATGAACGCACACACACGCAGCCGCACGCATGCACGTGTACACACATGCTCATGAATCACGTAATCGTGCGCGCACATACATACATGCACACACACACGCACACACACACACACACGCACGCCCCCCCACACACACATACACACACACACACACACACACACACACACACACACACACACACACACACACACACACACGCGCATGCATGAGTACACGCAGACACGCTCATGCAGCCTGATATAGACGCACAAAATGTCATCATATCTCACTCATAAGTAATCTACAGACATAGAATAACAACAGAGAATGAGCGACAACAATGTGTGAAATAGCGAGCTATTCTTACGAGATTTGTCAATACGTAGTCCGGTGAGCAGAGGCGACCTCTGGTGTCCCACTCCTCCTCGGACCACACTGTGCTAATCCACCGATGGGATGCCCGCCGTGGGCTCGGAATCACCTACGAAAAATTCCAAACAACGCCCATGATTAGCGTAAAGACACTTGCGCGAACATGCACGTGCTTCTCTGCTGACACTCCGATATTTTTTATGCCTTCGAATTCTATCAGCTTATCATGATTTCCTCCCGTTAATTCTTCGTCTTTCCTTCTTCTTCTACTCACCAAATTATAGACGATGCAATGAGCTTTAGTTGTGTTAACTAATTCTTCCTTGTGTTAACCTGTCATTCAGCCTCACCTCCTGTAGTGCCTTCTTTAACCCAGGCAGCGCTGGGGCCATCACATCAATGTTGTGTGCACCCATGTTAGGTCCCATCTGTCTGACAAAGACGCCCTGTGACGTTAATGCTTCGACTGCCTTCTCAAACTCGGCTGGACGCCCTGAGATCATCGTTGACCGATCGCTGACCTCTATGATAGGATTCACACCAGGTGGCAGGTCGAAAGCTTTCACAGCTTCCCATGGTAGTCCTTAATGAAAAGAAATATATAGTTAATCCTCTATAGGCCTATACCGATCGTGCAGATATTAGTCCGGCTGCATGAATACATTTGTTAATTTGTTCGTTTTTTATGTGAAAAAACTAGGGGGCCGTTGTCAGAAACATCGTAAATTTAATGCTAATGTTAATGCTACGATAACACTTACGACTAATGTTAATGTTACGAGAGTAACGTTGACAGAAACACATCGTAGCTACGAGCAAACTCACGATAGCAGGAACTTCATAATTTCATGTCACAAGGCTGCTGATTGGATGAGAATCGATCACAAAATTCAAATTCATACACATTTATTGTACATCACAGTAATTTATGCATATTATGATGGCTAACCACATATAAATAATATTTGATGAAAAATGACGTGGTCATGAATTTATTCTGCACAACAAGACAAATTGTTATTGCTACTATTACATAAGACTGCTATTATTAACCGATTATCCGATTATAATCGATTATCGATCGGTTAAGGGAAACCGATAATCGATTATA